ATGGATTTTTGTATTGAAACTGAATGGCATTTTTTGTATTGAAACTGAATGGCATGATATTGTTAGAATGCTTTTGGATATTGTTAATTTTGTTGGGAAACTGAATGGCAGGATATTGCAATGTGATTTATTATGCTTGGTAGTTGTAAAACACTTGTGTTGTGCTATTTTTTTGTTTAGTTAATGGAAGATATAAGTTGTGGTGATGGTTATGAGGAGTTCAGTTATGATGGTTATTTGTGTTGAGGTGTGAATGGCAGGACATTGAATTTATTTGTGTTGAGTTGTTTGTGGTAATCAGTTAAGTTTTCTTGAGGTTTGTGCAGTTCCAAATTGAAGGGACAAACTTCACAAGTATGGAAACTAAAGAAAATTTATTTTCATTACAACCACAAGTGCACAAAATAAGGTACACAAAATACAAGAGTACATAGAAGATTACTAGAGAAAATAAACACATTACACAACCTTCTCCAATCCATAGCCTTCACCTATATCTATATAGCAAAAATACACACAACACAATTGCTATAGCCAATGCAAACCCCATTTTCATCTCCATTTTTTCTTTCTTTTCAACCACTCTCTTGTTCAATGCTTGCAATTTTTCAACCTTTTTCTGCAGTTTTTCAATCTTCTCTTCCAGTTTTTCAACCTTATCCTCCAACTTGGTATTCTCAAATTTTAAGTTTTCTTTTACTCTCTCCAGTGCATTCATCTTCTTCAATAACCCAGGGATGATTGTTTGAGACCGGTCAGAGGTAGGAGGGTCGACCCAAGAGAAAAAATTGCAGCCTCCATTCTATACATTAAAAAAAAAAGTCACCAAATTGAGCTTCATGACCAAATTGAGCTTCATAACGTTGCAACCAAATGGGAAGTAGAATTAGGGTTCAAGGAAAAAACACATAATACCAAATAACATAATTGATCATTGCAATAAACATAACCGAAGAAACAAGAACAAACCCAATTCTACTGAAACTGGTAGAATGAAATCGTACCTTGTAGCCGAGGCAAGAATGAAATCTACTACCCGGGTTGTCGGCCGTCCATGATGTGCGAATAACAGCCCTTTTTCTGCACCAACATTCTAAGAAACCGGTAGAATGCGACGACTCAGACATGTTGAAGAACGAAATCAAGATTGAAGAACAATTTTCAAAATTAGGGTTCTTGAAAATTTGGGATCTTGTGATTTGGGAAATTAGGGTTCAAGGACGTTGTAACTGAGGAATTTCAGGCCCGATTCGTCCTTTTATCCCCGTTTCCATTTCCACGTGTGTCGACACGTGGATTTTTTATTTTTTTTCCTTTAAGTTTGTTGGTCTACGTGTCAAAACCCACACCAGCGTGTAAAAACCGGCTCCACGTAAGGCGAGTTGCCCGTTAATTTCCATCACGTGCATGTCATGTGCGTGTTTCCAGGCAATTAACGAGTTTCCGGTGAGTCGGGGACGAATCTGCAACCTTTTTTCGAAGTTAGAGGACGAAACTCAAAGTGGCTATTCAAAGAGGACTAAATTGTTCAGAGGGGTATACTTAGAGGACGAAAAATGCACTTTTCTCTATGAATGATATAAGATCAAACTATCACAATTGAACAAACACAATCTGATTCCAATTAACTGCTTTGGCCCCTCCCAAACTTTTTTTTTCTGGATTCGCCCCTTATCGCACGGGTATCAACACTAGTTCATGTTGACAGTAGCAACTGAAAATGAAGCCATACAACTTATTAGATTTTACTTGTTTACAA